GCTCGTAGCAGAGCATGGTCCGTGTCTACGGGTGTTGACCAGTAGGAGCGACAATCTTCAATGGATCCTCTCCAGCGGNCCAGCGCTGTGAAGAAGTTGGCGGTCTCCATGTAAGGCGGTGTCGTTTTTGTGCCAGAAGTTCGTGCTTGACAGGAACAGTTCGTGGTAAGCACAAATTTGGAGTAGGCGTTCTCCGTTGTCAGTCTTGTTGTCTGGGATTGCCTGTGAACCGCCAAGTAACCCCTCTGACACGACGAATTCCCATTTGAAATTTAACCACATCCTCCATTACTCACATGAAAAGAGAATCTGTTAACCGCCAAGGCAAGGACAGATACCAGGCCTTACGCACAAAATGGAACTAAGAGCTTTACTGCACCATCAAGGCGCACTCAAATCACTGGGTTCAACCTTGCTACAGTCTTAACTTACCTCGGGTCAAACGCATTTGTTCGAGAACCAGCACGATTGTCCAAATAGGCTGCCGTGCCACGCAGTGGTCCGGTATCTTCACCCTGTGTACAGATCATCATTTGACAAATGTCNTGTCTGTTGTCTTCAAAGATTCAATAATACAAGGCAAATCCATCAGTCGTCCTTGATACACTTGACCGTTATATCGGACAATGGTATGACGCATATCTGGATTGAATTCCACCGTGAAGTTTTCCTAGAAGAGATGTGAACGCGACGAAAAACGGGAAGCAGCATGAAACGAACTGCAACAAAAAAGCGACTGTGACAACAGATGATTCGCTGTATTGTTTCAAATGTGGTACATTCTGACCGGAGAACAGCATACGCTTTCAACATCTGTCGTGTGTTGAAACGCACAGAATACAACCGAGTGAAAGAGAGTATGAGAGAGAACTAAATAGGATGATAGAATTCATTTCGACCCAGTATTTATTTTAACTGGGATTTGAATGCCTCCGCACCTCTGTAAAGTACTCCAAATAAAGTCTACAGATATGCCATTCCCAGTGATAGCTGTTGTTCGGATTTATAGCTCAGTGGAGGGACTGATAGTTGGATTCTCGAGGGAGATAGAGGATGCGCCATGCTGACCTGTCCTAGTCAGGCCCGAATAGTTTTAGAAGCTATTCTTTTGCACATTAAACTACAGCTGCCTCAGAGGGAGGCGAACGTCAATCCCAATTATGCTGACGCGTTTGAATGCTCTATTCACCAATCCAGCCCGTTCAGTTTAGTGACGGTTCAGAATGAAATTGCATTGCACAACGGTGCTTAAACCATGAAAATGCTAGGTAATTTATGGAAAGTGCCGGTGAGAGTCATGGTGGTGGTGATGATGATTACGTAATGAAATCAAATGGCAACTACAAGCATTTACTTCTTAAACTCATACGGGTCAGCCTGCACGAGTGTGGCAGATGTTCAAAGTCATTTAACGATCAGGTAAGAAAAATAAGAGTATCAATCTGTTGCTATTATCCCAAAAATCCCACCACCAAAGTAAGTCAACAAAAAGCCGACATAACCTGGTTGGTGAACTTGTGGCAGTTCAGCACACACGCACACACACACACACACTCCTGGCAGTGAGCACCGGCTCGACTGAACATAAAAATGACTTGGGTAACTCGAACGTTTAACCCCGTCCAAAGTGCGAACGATTCGATGACCCGAACACCGGCTCCCAATGCTTTTCACACACCGCCCGACTTCCCTACGAGTGAGACTTTGCCTAGCCAAAAACTCCGGTTGTGAATACCTTAAGTAGATTCCCCTTCTTTAGTCTAAGAAACCTGGCAGTATCCCAGTCACTCATTATCATCGTGCAGTGTAACACAGTGAAGCAACCCTCTTTGATTGCTACCAAGCTCGCAATGCACACAAAGCTAGTGGTAATATGTAAGGTGGTCAGGTTCACCGGCAAACCAGACGTTCTTCTTTGTTATAAAGCTAATTTGACCTTGATTTGTTCGGCACACAGTCTGGACCCAGAGGGTTAAGAAATACAATAATAATGTTGGTGGGATCAACACGAGCAGATCAGGAAAATGTGAGACGAAAAACTTTTTCCGGACGATTCAGGCAAACCTACTTTGAAAGACACGCCTGCTTCGATGTCGGCTGACAAATTTTCAGCCGCGGCAGGATCCGTCATACGTAAAATAAATTGCTGCTCCAAATCGTAATTGGAGTCCAGTGGAAGTTTTGCAGACATGGTTGTTCATAAAATCTGAAATAATGAGGACTCGTAATTATTTGGTTCATGAAATTAATGCAATCGTGCGACTATATTTCCGGTTGAGAATGTGCTTAAGTTTTCAGTACATTGCATACTATTGTATATGTAAACTGTGTTGTTGTATTTCAAGTAATCGAAATGAAAATCTGACAGCAGCCAGCATAAAAGTTTGCCAAGCGTTTCCTCTTAACCTTCTTTTGTGATAAGTAAGTGTTGATAAAAAATTTCAAAATAATCAGAAATAATATATAATGATATAATATATAAATATCACGCCTAATCTAACCTTCCGCGGATCGCCGTTTCATGTTTCCGGTTTTTATGACTTAGCAGCAGGTCCTCCTGACTATGGGGTTAACCCCTCTGCTGTTCGTCACTCTAAGGTGTATAATTTATAAAAAAAATTAGAAAATAAACGCATCGGGTGAGTGTGTACGAGTGACATTGAAAAGAATGGCGAACAGAAGATAAATCGCGTATGAATTGACTTAACGCGCATAATAAATACAACATTTAATATTAGCCCAAAAAACTAGACAAAGTTAATAAGGTATTGTGAGGCGATTTGGAAAAGATTAAACAGATCATGGGTGTGCTTACAATAAACCTAAGGTTCAAAAAACAAAATCCAGAGAATGCAGAGATGAGAATAAGTGAGCCAATATTAGTTCAGTGGTTGACACAGTACACAGTTTAAATGTAAATATGGATCATAAACTTCTGTTTCATACACCCTTATGTGAGAAATATCAGACAAGCTAAACCGCAAAGACCCGCTGATCAGTGATGAAACGGGGCAAACAAAGTCACAGGACTTGGAATGCCGAACCACATAAGGTTCAGCGACTGTCTACCACGAAAGTTGAGTGGCGAGGACGAGGCTCAAACCTCAGACCACAGGGTCAAAAGTACGCCGGGGACTGCGCCTAAACCACAACAAGACCACCGCTTTAGTGTTCGGAAAAAATGTTCTTGGTAACACCGAAGGCAAGAGCAGAGGTGTATGCTACCGAGGGCGTCCCCAGGTCGCGGATAGGGGAATGGCCGCTAACTGGCGGTTAGCTGTGAATAAGGTAGGTTTATTATCGCTGCATAAGCGGTCGCGGACGATCAGTGGCAGTGCTTGAGGATGTGGTGGGTTTACCACTTGGCAAGGGTTCTCTATGCAAAACACCACATGTATCTTATGACAGCACTATGACGTGGCGAGTGTGGCACACCACTGAATTCGGCCATTGCCCTTTTGTCGAATTCTATCTACCCGACAAGATCTTTCAGAGGTGAATGAACCAACCGACCGATCACCGGCTTATCTAGAACAATGATGCCTTGTAGCTTGTGCTTGGTTGCGTAAAGGCTCGAGTGCATCCTCGTACAAGGCCTACTCTGGACTGGGCGACTAAGTAGTATGACAGCCCACAATGCAAACAAAATTAACTTCAGCTTAAGCAATTAATCGCTCTTTCAGTTTTCCTCGCTCATAAAAACGCTTTACATCGTGCACACCTTCCTTTTTCCCAGATTTTCCTCCACCTCACATTCACCTCACACAAAAATTTCCATTGTTATCAAGATCTTACGACAATCGTACTACCAGTTGTGCCTCCGATGGAAATACCGTCCCTATTCTCTCGCGTCCTGCCTCGAATAGCGTCAAAGTCTGACCGAATCTTTCTCCACCAGTTGAAGCTCTTCTTCGACCTCGATGCCCATTCAAACTAGCCACATTTAACTTGCGTACGTTGATGCGTATAGGACAATAGGCGTGTTTAGCTCATACCCTCGAGACCCTAGCAATCGATGTGTGTAGTATCCAAGATACTCGCATTCAAGACTCTGGCTCCAATGGTTAGAGACACTGAGTGATATGGCAAACAGTGGCGCTCGAGCATCCACTCATTATTCCCCTATCACTATTCTATATGAATTCTCCATCTTCCGCTTGAATTTGCTTTCAACGTTCCAATCTTCATTTTGTTCTTTTATCCCAATGGGGCACCAAAAGACAGCGACCAAAACCGGCACACGAAAGTGCATGGTTAATGGTTATAAAAACTGAACTGAACTGAAACTTTAGCTACGCCATCCCATTGACGTCCCCGTCAAACCCATCCGCGAAGTTTCACCTTCGTCTTTCTGGGGATCCTGAGGTTACGGCTTCTGGTCTTGCTGGCATTGGCGTGGCTTTCAATGAGAGAGCTGAAGCCGCGCTCCTAGACTGGATCCCAGTCGACAGTAGGTTATACGCAACGAGACTTAGATACTTAGTTGTCGCTTCGAAAGACGCAACTTGTTTGTCGTCTCAGGGTACGCACCTACGAACTGTAGACCAAATACAGTCAAAGATACTTTCTACCAAAAGTTACACGACCTCTTGCGTAAGGCAAATCGGGCTGACATCGTGATTTTAGCAGGATATATGAATGCTAGGGTGGGCCGACTGACTTCGAGTGAGGCGCATAAATTGTCTCAACCAGCATGCTTAGCCGTCTTTCAAATGTGCTAACTGAAAAGTTAGAACCTACCGCACCTGATAACGTCGATGAGCACTGGTCGCTTATCAAGAGTGCTGTGCATTCTGCTGGTTTAGTTAGTTGTGGTCTGACACGTCGTGCCGTGACACCCTGGATTTCCGCTGAGTCTGTGCCTTCTTGATGCACGTCGGTCACTTCCAACCGGCAGCTTGTAGTGACACGTGAACTGAAGGTAAGCCTACGCAGAGATCGCGAGATCTGGCGATCTCAACGCGCATCGGAAATGTAACGTGCTGCCACTATGGGAAATTCGCGTAAGCTGTTCCATCTCATCCGAGTCACCGGTAGGAAAACTTTGGGTGTGAGCGAAACGATCAATGAGGCTGACGGCTCGCTTATTCACTATCAACAGTGACTTCTTGAACGCTGGGCAGAGCACTTCAAAACACAGTTTAGCTGGCCACCAGCGTCAGCTTCTCACACAGCTACTACGGCACACTTCCCATGGTCTGTATCAAGAGACCCATCTTTTGAGGCCGAAATACTTGACGAAATCCAAACCTTGTTTTCAGTTTTCAGTTCGTACACCCATTAACGACGCATATTCGGGCGCCGGTTTTGGTTTCTGTCTTTTGGCTGCTCATTTGGATGAAGAATAGGAGAAGAAAGGAAACTTGAAAGTGGAGTCTAACAGAAAATGGAGAGGTTCAACGATCTAAGGTTGCAAAGAAATTGAGAAGATGCACGAACGCCACTATTTACGACACCCAGCTATATCACTTAGTGTATCTGTCCATCGGGTATGATCATCCCGAGGTCCCAATCTAGAAACACTAACGGGACCTATGTGACACAAATTATTGGTTAGGGTTTTCATACCCTCATGCCAGCTCTTAGCTTGACCACCCTTGATTTTCTTCCACCCACTACCTGCCTCGGCGAACATCGCTCACTGTGGCAACCTATTTGGTGACATGCGTAACAACCAACGTAATCTATGGAAATCGACCACTTGCTATAGTGGGTGACCGCAAAATTTGTCTACTTGCTCTATTACTTCCCCAGTTAGCGTGAGACTGGGTGCAGGACTAACCCAGTCTTTTAGTAACATTTTACACTTTGAAGGTGCAAAACGCATACCGAATATGGCAACACTAGCACTCAAACTTTCCAGAAAAGCTTATAACTTACCTGGATCTTCATTTAGCAGCACAATGTCGTCTGCATACTCTACATCAGACAGTCCTGGGAGTAAATCGACATCGCTATCCTCGCACGAGGATAGGCCTGTTTCCATAATCAGATCTATAACAAAGTTGAACAGAAAACGGGAGAGAGGGTAACCCTGTCGAACACCACTTTCCGTGGTGAACTCGGGTGAAAAATTGCCGTAAGCTCGGACTCGGCTTCGGCTATTATTGTAGAGGGATTGTAATATTGAAAAAAACTTCTCGTACACACCTTTCAGAGAAAGGCAGCACCAGAGTTTACAGCGGTCGACTGAGTCGAAAGCCGCTTTCAGATCTAGGAATACAGAGATGGTGGGTCTACGATAAAAATGTTGATGCTCCAGAATCTGGCAGAGAGTGAAGATGTGGTCGATACAACCTCGACCAGGCCTAAAACCAGCCTGGTTCTCACGCGTGCACCGTTCACTTGCAGTAGACAATCAGCGGAGTATGATGTCAGCGAGAAATTTAGAGGCAAAATTTATCAAACTAATTTCTCTGTGGTTTTCACAAGAGGATATATCACCTTTCTTGTAAATCGGTATGATTACCGATTCACACCATTCAGCTGGAACCTCTTCCCTTTGCCATATCGAACCCAGGAGTTTTGTCAACTCCAAGACTAACGCTGAGCCTCCATCCTTAAAGGCTGTTAGGAACATCCCACCTGGGAAGTCACAAAGCGCCGGGCTCTGATGACCTTCCCTTGCTCTATTTAGAGATGGTGGAATAAAGCTCGTTAGAGAACTACAAGTTCTGTTCTCTTAAGTTGGGAACACTGAGTAGGTCCACTCCTCCTGGGAGAGTCGATTGTTGTCTTCATCTTTTAAAAGGGCCCGCGCAATGATTGCGCTAATCATAGGGGTATAAGCTCGATACCATCAGCGCCAAAGCTGTTAACGTCCATCGTTCTTCGTAGATTGTACAAAACGCGTGAGGAGTAGGCTGGGTTTCGTGCCGGTCACGGCTGTAGCGATCAAATCTTCACCCTCCGACAGCTGCTAGAGTACCGTCATGCTTACCATGGACCAACGGTCATTGTGCTCTTTGACATTTGTGCAGCCTTCGATCCTGTTAATGGGACCGCACTATGGGGCCTCAGTATGGTCGGGGGTGGGTGTCTCAGGCTCCGGAATGGCCATTCGTCCCGAACTCCTCTAGAAATGCTCCCAAACGACCAAGCGTCTCAAATAGCTTCTGCTGAGGAAGTCCTACCCACTATCTTCTAGTGGTGGAGGTATTAACACTAAACTGGGAGAGCAAAGGCGAATGC